AAACGATTAATGGTAATAATGAAAAATACGACAGGAAAAAAAAAAGAAACCTACGCAAACCTACTATGTAATTGACTATTCTCTATATGCGAAATACATATACATAATATATATATTATAAATAAATATAGATATATATATTATTATAATGATTATATATATTATTATGATTATTACGCTATGAGAATACGAGTATGGATGATTTTAAGGAAAGTATACATATTATATTAATAAACATTTTTTAATGCCACTATCCTACAGATAATGGTGAAATGAAGTGAAATGAAACGAGAGAGGAAAAAAAAAAAAGAAAAAAAATCAGAAAAAAAAGAAAAAAGTAATTGAAATCTCTGGTGTTAAGTTATTTCTCTCTTACCTTCGTATCCCGATCCTCGATATTTTTTTCCACTTCCCTTTCCCTTGAAAACTCAACGTGTCATCCTATCCAAAAGGATTTATTTTTCTCTCTCTTTCTCTCTCTCTCCTCTCGCTCTACGATGTTATCGACGTTCTCTCGACTGGCATAAATTCGATCGAGCTGTACACACACACATACACACACACACACACACACTCTCCATTCCACTCCATTCGTCTAACGTTAGCAGGTTTGGGAACGGAGGAAGAGGCCAAGAGGGGGTTGCAGGAGGATACCGAGACGAGGAGCCAACGCCCGTCACGAGAATCAACGTTGAAAAAACCGGTGGTGTGCCCGGTCTCTATAATTGGCCGCCAGTTAATTACACGCCACGTCGCGCGTCATATAAACGAAAATCCATCCGTCACTCGAGCTGCCAGCCGACGGGGGTTGATAATAATTAAACGGAATGACGTCGCGGAGACCGGTTCGGAGGAGGAGAGATTTTCGACTCGGCGAATAGAGAGACGTGCCTCGAGATAGGGTGAATTGGATTAAACGAGATTATGCATTTATCTCGAGGCGACTCGAGCTTCTCAAAGGAAATTCTCAAGGAAATTAAAGAATTGATCGTAATTCGTGTATATTATTAAAAAAGCTAAATCTCTCGAAAATGTTCGAATATTAAAAAATCAACACCTCTAATAACAAGTTCGAATAAGAAGAAAAAAAAAAAAAAAGAATTTCGATCATTTTCATCAATTGTCTCGACGATATTATCGTTGCATCGAATTATATCGATAACGATATAGTCAAGAAAATCAGGGGAGGAAGTATCGTCTCGATCGTCCCTCGAGAGAGAGACGCAATTCTGGTTTGTCTCAACACCTGCTCAATTACACGGCACGTCGCGTGTCGTGATCGGAGATCCATCCTTCGATCGTCGATACGGAACCTTCGTGATCGTCCCCTTCCCGCCCCTGGGAATTTCGCAGCTCCAATGCCTCGATGGGGCGTCAAAGATTCGGCGGAGGGAGGGGCGCGCAACGATTCTTCTCCCAAAGGAGAAACGCGGAATTTTCGAAAAAAGGGCGGGGAGGAAAAAATTGAATCCGATGCATTTCTTCTTTCTTTTTTTTTTATAATTCACGCGAGACGAATCCTCCCTTCTCCTTCCCTTCGGGAAAGATAAGATTCCTCCACACCCTGGACATCCTCGTCCCACGTACCCCAATACGAGGAACGACGCGACTGTATTTCACCGAAACGACCGATCGCTAATTGCCAGTCGGGTGCCGAGCTTTCGCGCCCGATAAATTTTTTGATCCATCGTCCATTAAGGGTGGACCGTAACGCTCGTAAAACGTTCAACCGTGAATGGGCGGCCTATCGATCGGTGATGCATGGCGCTTTCTTAGCCTCCGGCTCGCTCGAGCTCGTCTTCCTTCCTTCACGACAACCGCCACCCCTCGTGCTGCTTACAGCGGACCAATTAATTTCCGAGCATTCCACCCCAGCAAGACGAACAGCCTCCCAGTTTTCCCTTTAATCTTCCAGATTGCATGGGAAATCGGAATTGTGCGCGTGTCGAGGAATCTAAGTAATTCGAATTTATTCTCTTGCAAATCGTTCTCTAAATTTTTCGCCAAATTTTTTATCCGACTCCGATCCTCCGATCGAAGTCATCCGAGGAAGAAAAATTGCAAAATTGGGAGCAACAGACGAAGAGAAAAAGAGGAATCTTTCGTTAAATATTCGGCAGAAGGCGAAGGTAAAACAAAGAACGGAAGTGGAAGCGTCGGAAGAGTTCGATCGCGTCACGATCAACAGTTAATGGACAAATTTAATTTCTCGGCCCATTGCTTGCGACTCGTGGCCGTTATCGGCGCGCACTGCTCGTCGGATCGAAACACCCGGGCGGGAGAAGGATACACGGATGGCGTGCACTGCGAGGAGGGAGGGGGAGGGGGGCAGGTAGGTTGATAAAAGTATCGAGCGGGCGGGGAGAGGGGCAGGGGATTATAAATTGGCTACTTTGTGTCGCGGTTATTGGGGGGCCAAATTGCGAACGACCATCCATCCATTTCCTGGACCTCACCGTCTCGTTTCGCCTCGCCTCGCCTCGTCTCGTCTCGTCTCGTCTCGTCTGGATCGACCCTGCGTCTCGTCCGTTCCAGATCGTTCCCAGTTTTTCCCCCCTTTCCTCCGTTCCTTTCTCGCCGTTGTTAACGGGCCGGAAACTTTGTTAGGAAACTGGAATTTTTTCTATATACAATACCAACAATACATACCTATCCCTAAACCACCTAGAAGAAGGGAAGAATCTCGATGGACGTAACACTTTTAAATCGCCTACAGATTTACCCTCGGAACCAAGAAACTTCAGCACTTTTTTTTAGATTTATCGGCGTGCCTATGGTATTTGCTCCCGTTGTTCCAGCGGTCCGTGGGTTTTTTTTAATGGTGGCCAAGGATCGTCGTCTCGAGGGTGGACACCACGAGAGCACGTTATTGGATCCTTGTTGACTACCCTCGTTACCCATACCCACGGTCAGCGGTAAACGTGTGAGGAAAGTTGCTTAGGTTATCGGTCGCTAGCGATGGGATCGAGTTCAACGCGTGTTTGTCCAAATCTAAATCCAAATCGATCACTCGTTTCACAAGAATCGAACGTAACTCGAGAGTAACGGAAGTAATTTTTATTCCGGTATTCGCGATACGAACTTTGTATATCATTTCCAAAAGTATTCGTACAAGATTCGAATCCTGTTTTGTCGATGTTCGTTGACTCGCGATATGCTCGATTCCATCGCTAGCTACTGTCAGCTGTAAACGCGGCGCAGAAACGTTCCTTGGGTTATCAGTCGCAGGTGGCAAACGATTTCGCTCCGTCTCCTCTCCTTCTTGAATATTTATGGGGGCGCGTGGTCAGAGGCCGGTTGGACCGCAGCCATCCGGCCGACTGTCCCCTAAATTCGACCGGAATTGGGTGTCGCAAATGGGTAATCCGGGTTAGGGCGCTGTTCTACATCCACCGGTTCGAATCGAGTCGAGTCGAGTAGAGTCGAGTCGAGTCCAGTTTCCTGGAAATGGCGGTCGTAATTTTCCAAAATTGAATTGTGCCGAGGGGGAGGGGGAATTCTTTTCGCGCTATTACCGCCGCACAACCATTCTATCCACGGAACACGGTCGTTTCAACCCTCTATTAAGATCTTCCTATACAAAGTCGATCGACCAACGTCTCCGTCGCGACTTATTCGAGCTCGCGCCTTCACATTTCCTTGGGAGCGGTGAAGCGTGTCTGGGACGCGCGGGAGAATGATCGACGGGTCGCGGAGGATGCGAGGGGGAGACGTCGGATGGAGGGTGGATCCTTCCAGGCTGGCACCCCCCAGGGTCCATTGACAAATTTGCCAGCGGGCAAAAAGCCTGCTTGGTATGCATCCCTCGTTCGGTCCATCGGCCGTGCAACGTCGTGAGCCGAGGTTCGCGAGTGTGCGAGTGACGTGCGTCGTGCGTCACCTCTACACTTTTCATCCCGCGAAATATCCTTCGCGAGACGAGAGATCCACAGAATTCGAGTTTCCAACCAATTTCCCTCTCCTCATTTATCGTTTCCGATTTCTATTTATTTATTTTTTACTCATCGATCCATTAATCCTTCTTCTTTATTTTTCTCAATTTTTCATCCAGGAAAGTAAAAAAGTAATCTGTAATCCAACGATAGTATTTACGAATAACGAGGAAGAGAAACTTTCGGCTAAATTTTCAATTAATATTTCACTGACTCGATCTAGAGCCACCCTCCTAACAGGATGGCGATCGAGAAATTTTTATCGGTCGACGAACGATTCATGGCCGGTGTCTAACAAGCCTGGCAGGCTTCGATCGAGAGTCTCGTCCCTCCTGGAAATGCACTCGTTAATCTGCCAACCGGGCAGACGGATTAAACCGTATCGGGTCGTAAAGAGGGGGAGATGGAAAATTTAAGACGGTCGTCACGGTGGCCTGGAAACTCGTTGCCCCAGCTACCTTGTCCGCGATGTTTACGCGCTATTCCAAGATCTTCCCCTTGTCTCGGGGATATTGCTAATTGGTTATCGACCTCGGTCCGGACTTCCAACTCTTCCTCTTTTCGAATTCGTTTCATAGCGCCGCCCTCTTATTATTCCGCTTCTTCTGGGAGGAACGAGGCCACTGCGATCGATCCGCTTGTGCCTTCCCCCCTCCCTCCTCCCCGTAATTAGAGGTGGAAACTAATTTCCGCCACCGACCTTTCCGTGTCCCGAATCACGATCCACGAGACGGGATTTCTAGGGAAAGTGTTTGGAAAACTTGCTAGAGTTGTACGAGTGGTTGAAACGACAAGATCTACTCGAGGTGGATGCGACCACTCTCTTCTGGCTATCAATTATAGTTTTAGACTGTTTGTTAACTGGGAAGAGTTCTTGCCCTGAGAGGATGTTGGATTTTTCTTCAGGGTGATATCCAACGGAGGAAAAAACTTCCTTCTTGGGAAGGGATTTTGGAAAATGTATCGAATTAATTGAACGAATTTAATGTATTACTTAACGATTTCATTCTTTGCGAATCGATGTCCAATTTTATTTGGACAATTCGAATTAAGTAAAATTCTAAAGAGGGAAAAGTGTATGGGATCAACGATAGTTTCATAGATCGCGATAAAAGAATAGTTTCCAAATTGCACGAATGCAATTATTTCTTTTTCGAAATTTTCGAAATTTCCCTTTTAAATATTACTCTGATTACACTGTTTCCATTTCGTATTCCATTAAACAAAGAGAAAAGAGAATATTTCGCGCAAGATTGAATTTTCGAGAGAAAAATCACCCCGTCACGGGGGAAAGGAGAGGAGAGGAGATTCAACGCTGAGAAGAATTTCCTGCCTTCGTCGACTTCCTCCTCCTTCGGGTTTAATTCCACTTGCACTTTCCCCTTCGTTCCCATCGACTCTCAACCCCCTCTCCGTTATTTCGTCTCCTCTCGTTAGCCGCGTGTATCGAGTTTGCGCTCCACGTTTTCCATCGAGACCTCCCCTCCTCCCTCGGAATAGGGGCGGGAGGGGTCGAGTACCAGCCGGGTTCCCACTCGAAACTCGGACAATGGTTCAAGATTCGATTTTGCCTCGGGCTTTTCCTCCACTCCACGTTTCTTTCGACCTCCTCTCCTTGTTACTTTCGCCTGAAAAGGGAGGAGGGGAGGGAGCCACCACGAAGACGACGCAGGCGGCTTATGAACTTATGAGGGTGCGCGGTTTCTATTATTTATCGAGGAAAAGTGGGTCTGCGATTCGTCGATTCCGTGGCCCGATTCAATGATTCAACGAGGCCTGTTCTCGTTCTAGTCGAGGGATCGGCCGGTGTTTGTTCGTGGATTCGTGTTTGTCGAGGCTTGACAAGGCGGATATAGTCGATGGAATGGGCGATTTGTCGTTGGATTTTTCGAATCGACGATTTTCCCAACTTCGAGTATATTTTTTTATCTGTATAATATTTTGAACGGCACGATATATATATTTTTAGATAAGTGTTATTCAATCGGTTTATGATTATCCGTTAAAACGTATATTTTATACATATTGTATCATTTACGTTCAGTTTCAGAACTATGTATATATAATGTTAGAGTTTGAAATGCTAAAAGTTTGAAATCACTTTTCAAATCGTATCGAATCTTTTACCGATTTTGAACTTTAATTCGAAATTACAGTACGTCGTTGTCTCGTAATCCCATATCGAATAGATCTGATGGTAAGATTTTGAAAGGTAGAAAAAAATATTAAGCAAGCATCATTGAAAAAGAAGGTTGAATCGGAGTTAGTTTGGTCGAACGAGTTTCTGGTCGATTTAAATCCAAGTTATCCGCCGATGAAGTGCGAAGTTTCGACAACGGAAGGGAGAATTTCTCTCGTGGAAAGTGGCTTTAGACTGCAGGAGAGGGTGGAGAGTAGAGGTCGAAATTAGATTTGCTATGGCGGCGTTTCGCTCGGGCCGACCCCTGCGCGGTGGGGAACATCTTCAAAGCGGTTCGAATTTCATCATTTTGGCGGAGCAAGCCTCTCACCTTGAATAACCTTCGTCGGAAAAAGGCGCATTGTGTTACTGGTAATTGCAGTTTGTCCGAGTAATCCATTTTGTATTGCGTTCCCACCCCTGGCCCCGATTCCATCTCCTCTTTTTCACGAATAATAATTTTCGCCTATAATTTTATCTTTCAATTTCGATGATACTTTCTGCTCGATTTCTCGAAGAGCTAACTGTATTTCTTTTTCGCACAACGACGATAAATTTTCCACGAGATTTAAACGACCGCGCATATCGCTTTTACGCGAATCAAAGTTTTTATGAACTTTATAGAAAAATGTACATGAAACAAAGAATAAGATAATCTATTGACAATAATCAAGAACGATTTCTTCGAATATTCTTAATTCGAAGGGCGAGTCACCGCTCCGCACGCTTCTTAAATAAATCATCCGAAAGTAGGGTGGGAAGGGAAAGGGAAGAATTAAGAACCGACACGGTTTCTCCCGTGCAAAAAAAAAAAAAGACAGAAAGAGGGGCAAGGCAA